CCCCCCCCCCCCCCCCCCCCGAGTGATGCCCTTGCCAACTAGTGTGGTATTAATGGGGTGTAATTCCATGCGCCTCTAAAAACACAGCACAGAACTCAGCCAGGAGAAAGGTCTCTGTTGGCTTTCAACTATCCGTCTTTACATTTTTGAGGAGCGCTGACAGCCAGAGAGGGCCCATTCTCCAGCAGAACCAATCTGGGGGCCTGTCCTAAGGCTGAGCAGCCTAACAAGGGATGTTCCATGGACTGTAGGGCTGCCTGACACACTGGTAGTCCTCTCCTAATAGCACCTCTGGCTGCCTATTCACATGCTCGGAGATGGGGAGGTGGGGGGGCAGGGTATTTTAATTACAGTGGTTCACAGAGAGCTGCTCTAATTAAAATGCTGCAGCACTATGTGTATTAAGACCCTGCACATTTAAAAATGGCTGTGGAATGCTTTAAATAAAGCTCATTCAATAAAGCGCCCCGTGTCCATTTTGAAATAGAGGGGGACTTAATACATGTGATGCTGTGACAATGCTAGAGCATTCAAATTAGAGCGTCGGAGCACGTCTATAGGCAGCCTGATTCCGGCCCTCTCAGAGCCTGTGGAGAGCAGTCTCATAGCTGTCTCTGCAGTGTCTGCAGAGCCTTTTTAGGGATCCCTTAAATTACTTGGGCCATAAGGAAGCCAGAGCAGGAGGAAAGATCTCACCCATGGCATTTAAAGCACAAAAAGTTCAGTGTTTCATTATATTTTTGTAAGAACCATATTTATGTGCATATAAAACTAAAAATTACTGAAGTACTAAGGATTAGTGTCCTGCACTTTTTGCTGGCTTTCAGAGGTGAGTACATACCAACAAAGGGTTTACATGCTTGAATTTATCTATCTGTAAATCACAAGCTGTTATATACGACTCCTTTTCACTGGTCAAAAAAATCTCAAACCATTTAAGGAGACTTACATTATGCCAGTTCCTCTCTATTTGTACACCTGGGACTTCCATCGCTAGATGACAAAGACCAGTAGACACTGAAGGACAGAAACTCAAATAAGGAACAACTCATTTAAGCTGGCAGAACTCAGTTGCATGTCTGCTATGAGCAGGAAATGTAGTCCTATGGCCAATGCTTTTAATGGCTGCTGTGTGTGACTGAGTTTTTTGGAGCCAGTCTGAGATATCCAGACTGTGTACCACACCGGTGGAAACTGCAGGTGTCCAGGATCTCTGAAAAACAAGATGAAGGGTTGTCAGTGGTCATTAGGCAGCCAAAAACAGAGTGACTGCCTTTGAAAATGGTTGTACATTTACTAGACTGCAAGTATCTAAAAAGTAGTTAATATAGGACACATATAATAAAATCAGTGTGCATTTAATGCGTCGTACTTGACATAAATAGTCATTAACATACAATATTTGTTATAGTTCTTTATCGGTAGGTTTCCTTATTTGTTAAATATTGTGATACCAGAGAGGATATCTGTTCTGAAGTGTTTTCTTTCACTACTAAGCTGAAATGGATATGAAGGAAAAAGGCATTCTGAATACTTAGATCAATGAATGCAACAGAAGAAAAAAGTAATTAAGTGTCTCTGCAATCAGATTTTTGTATTATAGATGATAATGGGACTATGCCAATGCAATGTCTAATTTATATATTAAAAAATTCTCACTTCACAGTGTTTTAATGTGATTTTTTTTAAGTATCCTAAGTGACCTTTGCCTAAAACAAGTTTTGCAAAAAGTTCCACAAAATGTGAAATAAGAAATATATATCCTTCCAAGGCATCTGTTTACTTTTTTAAGCATGTAGCTAAAATCAGACTGGGCAACCCAATAACAAAAGATGATTCACTTTCTAATATGTTGTTAGGAATATCCCCCACTTCCATGCACCATCAAGCAACATCAGGATTGCTGAGCTGTGGGCATAGGGCAGGGGTGGGCAAAATGTAGCCCACAGGCCAGATGCGACCTGCCAGGCCATTCTATCCGGCCCGCGGGGCCCCTAAAAATGTTAGAAAATTAATGTTTATCTGCCCCTGGCTGCCTATCATATGGCCCTCGATGGTTTGCCAAAACTCAGGAAGCGGCCCTCCGCCCAAAATAATTGCCTGCCCTTGGCATAGGGTGTCCTTTAAGCATTCTGGAAGAATTCAGGCTGAGTCCACCAATATGCCTCTGGTGACCAGAACTGGAGCTCCCCATGTGCAAAGATTCATTTCTTGAACAGAAGCCAGTTCTCTGCCTGCAAGAATTAACCACAAACAGTCCCAGGCCTGGCATAACTCCAAGAATGCTTCACCTTCCCATATACAGGTGACACTGCCTTTTTAAATGAAATTCTTGCTCTCCTGGCAAAATGTCAGACACAAAAAGGAGAGAAATGAGTCGATGTTTTTCTCATTTGGCATCACACTAATTAAGAATAAAAAGGGCCACTGGAGAACCGACATATTTTTCTATTTCTGTAAATGGAAGGAGAACTTTAAAGGTAGAGTTAGTGTGTCCATAGTTCCTTTTCCAAAATGTATCAAGTAGATTAGGTATCTGCTAAAATCTACTGCTATATCCACAGAGCAAGGACTATCGTCTAGTGCCATGGTTCTTAACCTTTTCAGACTCCAGGCCCCTCTCCATAACATTTTTTAGCAACACCTTCCACAGGTGTGGATGGAGGAAGCTCTTCCTTTTCCCCTCGCAAGGGAGACATACTCCCCTGCCTTTGTCTCAGCACATAAAGCCCAGGGCATGCAACAGGAAGTGCATTAGCAGGGGTGGCACTTACTGCACCCTGTCCACAATGGTGTTATGCCTGTCTGGCTAACAGATGGGCCAGGAGTAGCAAACCTCTAGGCAGCCTGTCTTTTCAGGTCAGGCTGCAGTAGGAATATCCCCTCCTGCCTCAGCCACTTCCTGATCCAGCTCTCCATAGCATCTCCCCAAAACAGAGGCATGTCAGGGAAGTTCCTCCTGGTACCCTTAGAAGGATCTCTAACAACCCAGTTTTGAATCACTGGGCTATTAGTTAGAACACAAGACTAAGACAGTGGTATTCAACCTTTTTTGGACTCAGGGCACCCCTTCAGAAAATGCCAGCTCTCAGCTTTCATTTCTTTCTTGACTATAGAAAAATAATTGAGCAATTCTTTTGTTACGAAGAACTTGGAAAGGCTACAACAGGTCAGGCTGTTTTTGATGCTATGGATTCCTATTTGAAATCTCTGGGCAATAGTACATGCCACGGCATTGAATCCTTATTAATTTAATGAGCTTTAAAAATGTTAACTTGGGTTATTTTGGTGAGTTGTGTTTGTCTTTTTATGTCACGGTCTTTCAAATGAATTAAATCCTGTGTGTAATTCCTCACAGATTTCAGCAGAGGAGCCAAATACCAGTTTACCACCAGTAATGCCTTTCCTAATAAATTACAGCAGGAGGTACACGTTCCCCGGTAAACTGGCCTCCACAGTCCCTGCCCCACGCTGGGAATCTCACGTTAAGCTACCCCCCACCCTGCACGCCAGGCCACGGTTACCCCAAAACCCTGCCACTTGCACCCACCTGGGCTCAGTCCGGTGTCCCAGTAGGTGACCCGGGGTAATCCAAACGACAAGCCGTGTGAATCATCCCCTCCCCTCCCTTTCCCTTCTCCCCATGTTACAAAGTATATCTGAGTTTAATCTAGTAAATGACATGCAAGTGTTTGTACACCTAATATTGAACAGCAACCTTAAAGGATCTCACATTGCCGCAGGTTACTGCATCACAATAGTTGAGAATCACTGCCTTAAGACACACTACTAGCTCTTCACAGATTTACTTGGTATCCCTGAGCAGGTGTTTTTACCTTTCTGTGGACTCTATTTGTAATGTGCTCATAGCCCATTGGACATACAGGGAAGTAAGTCGTACATTAGCATTTACAGAGTCATTTTTCATTATAACACTTTGTTTTCATATGCTTATGGCTAAAATAGTTGCATGAGGCCAAAAATTTCGTGATATCTGCCTAAGTGGAGGGACTGAGACAGACACTTAACTGGATATTCATGAGCCAGTCCAATAAAACTATGGAGAGAAAGTAAGTCTTTCCATTGGTTGTATGACATGATTATTTTTTTTTATTTTCGAATTTTATTTCAGCAAAATATGGCTAACCTTTGAAATGAGGCACAGCAATACAGTCTCTAATGGGAACAAAGTTTCTAACTCTTTTCCCATAACAAACTCAATACCAAGTTATAAATGACTGGAAATTACCTCCAGGAATTTTCTATTTAAATGCGTTTGTGTGCACTCTGTTGTAACGTGGTTCATTCTTGCCTACCTGGATGAGAAAATATATTCTTGCTGTAATTCTGTTTTAACTCACAGAGCTGTACTTACCTGTAATATCTGTGGTATGATCACAGAATACAGCTTTTGTTCATATAGTGATTCATCATCGCATATGTATCAGTCCATCCACAATGTCACTCTGCCTGTTTTAATTAGATGTATCAGATGTTCTTGGCAGCAATTCCCAAGTGTCATATCTGAGACTGTCTACAGTAGGGTAGGGTGTTTAAGCGAGGGCCATTCTCCCTTGCTCAGCATGCTGAGATTTCTGTGGCAAATCCCACAATGCACTGCAATTATCCAGACACTCCGAATTGGTGCACTTTCCCCCAGTTGGTGTCTTTTTGTTGGCAGCTTTGAAAGAGACAGGGGAGAAGCGGGCATAGCTGCCAGTAATATGAGACTGTATATCTGATAAAGGTGGCATCATAGGAAGAGCTCTGTAGCTGTCCCTATTGTCAAAGTGAATTTCAGAGGCCAACCTCTTGAACTGTCCTAACTGCACTTGTTATACTTAATTTTGATTAAGGGGCGGTGTGGACAGAATAAACTGATCAGTGAAACTATTTCAGTCTCCAATCCAATTTACTGAACAATTAAGTAATACCAAAACTTCAAACTGTCTATAAAGATTAGATATCCTTACGTAGGACGTCC